GAATGGTATAAAAGGGACATAATCTTATCATCAACACGGTAAAAGACAACGTGGAAAGGAACTGGCTACTCTCCCACAATAAGTGGAAGTTGTCCTGATCGGATGCGGGAACAACTTTACTTTTTAATCACTCTTCAAAACCAAACAAAGCAAAAGTTTTGTTACTTACCTGTATTCTTCTGATAACCTGACCCGTGATGTTTCTTTCCTTGATTGGCCTTTATAAGCCCACTCGGTTCTTCTTCTTCTTCTTCTTCTTCTTCTTCTTCTTCTTCTTCTTCTTCTTCTTCTCGTAGAAGACGCACGGCGACTTTGATGTCTTGGTCTTAAGACAAACAAGCTGGGTCCTGCACGCGATGATAATGGTAGTGCCCCTTTTTCCACAGAGTCAACGAGTTTTCCCCCTCAACGACCAGCGTAAGACGACTGTGGGTGGAGCAGAGCTTGCCCCGACTATGACGAACATCCCAAGAGCTGCCTTTTACTTCGTGTTTCTTCATCTTTTTTCAATCGTTCATGGAGGATGCAAGAAAGCTGATTGGTACCTCGGTTTTGACAAGATTGGGTCTTGCAAATGCAGTAACCCAGCCAACGACTACATAAAGGGTTTCGAGCGTAGCCCCAGAGGTTCCCCTGATGAAATTTTCCGGATTGAGTATGCATTTTGCTGTACCGCCCCAAACCCATACGAGAAAGACCATGGGCAGGCCTACCGAGCCGACTGGAAGAGTAGTTTTGAGAAGAACTATACCTGGAACACTTGTCAAACTGGGTTCTTCTTACAAGGGCTTTACCGAACAGGCAAACCAGAGTTACTTGAGAATATTGAATCTGGTTGGTGCGCGAAGCCATCGTCACATCCACACCACTACGGCCAATGCTACGTTCAAGATATAAGTGATTCATTTAATGATGCTGGAGTCAGTCAATGTCGAGAAACTTACTTCATCACTGGTTTCTTCCGAGAGGCTGCAATGAATTACTTTGTATTGAGAAAATGATGTGTTGCAGAATGGCTTCCGCGCCTGATCCGCTGAATTCTCTGTCTAGCGTCAAAACAAAAGTAATGGACGACACAAGTATGACGTGTCACGTCTGGCTGACTACCTCGGGTACGGCTGGTACCACGACGTAAGCGACACTTCTGTCGGTGAAGATTTCCACCGAGTAGGGGACACTTGGTCCTTCGATAGTGGAAATCGCCGGTTGATCATGAGCTTTGAGAATTGGAAGCTGACTCTCAAAAGCATTTCTTACGGCGAGCCTGTGCTACAGGACCTTCCCCCGACGATCATAGGTACTGGCGTAGTGAGAAACACGTTGACTGCCCCGATCCAACACAGTGTACAGCGCATCAATGAAGTGGCGCGGTCGGTGACCCACATTCCGACTTCCGAATGGAAAAACCCGGAGGAGCTGAATGTCAAGATTCGCTACATCCCCGAAGGGTTGCCGGCCAGCAGTGGCTATGACTTTACGTACGAGACGTCTTCATCCACGGAAGACTGCACTCAGAACTAACAGAAGCATACTTTTGTCGTGGAGTCCTCTGTGAACGTGTTTCCAGACCATGCCCTCAACTGGACGCTAACTCAGTACAAGACTCGAAGAATCGTACCTTACAACGCAACAATCCTTATACACTTCTCGACAGCACTCAAAGGGTTCCCGAGACTGCGAGACCTCAAAGGGAAAGAAATATCTCCACGGTTTACAAGTTACTCATTTGGAGACGGCAGCGAGCCATTTTACAAAGCCTTGAAGGAACAGAGTGAGAAGCAACAGGGGCCGTGGCTGTGGGCAGAGATGAGGGCACAGTATGGCTCCTCCCAGGCTGTGATCAACAGTCTCACCTCGGAGGAGCGCTATGATTTCACGCTCACCGGCAAGTTTGAAGACGTCTACAGCAAGAAGGTCGAGATAAGCTGGGAGCAGATTTTCCCAGAACCGGAGAGACAAAGCTCTCTTGTGGCCATCTGACGAGCAGGCTGCCAGCGCTGCATGTTAACAGTCAGCTCAAGTCATTTTTGTTCTTTGATTAAACAGTTAAACTGACATGCTAATAATAATGTGCAGATATTTAGTCAGAACACAACCTATGTATTACTACCTGTACTCGGGGTAGAGCGCTATATAAATCGTTGCCTTTGAATAGCAAAGTTATATATGCCCAGTGCCTAGTTTTAACAAATTTTTAATTAAGGAGGGGGGGGTTACACCTGAAGGCTATCTCGCTTATTAGTTATGCAAATTTTACCGAATTTTACCAAATTTCACACACATAACAAGCACTGTAAGGAGTCTTAAAATCCGCAATCAAATTTGAGAAAAAAAGTTTCGTATCTATGGAAACGGCGGCCATTATGGATTTTGTTGACATGCCTTACGTAATGAATACCGCATTTATTTTTCTTGGAAATAGATCGATTTTTGCAAGCATGTTAACACACATTAGATCTACAAATTTGTGAGGTAGCGTGGTGGAATCAGGCTCTGGTCAATTTGTGGGCACGTAGAGTTATTTGTATCATGTTAAATGTGTTCACTTGTCTTTATTTTGTATGAAAATACTATGCATATAGTATACAACAAGTCGAGATATTTACGAAAGAAGGAGGTGGGGGTCATTTGTTTTCAGAGGTAAAATTAGTGAGAAAATGACTGCCAAAGATTAGTTGTTTCCTTAGCTTAAGAGTCCGTGGTAACTGAAAATTTACATTTTTTGTGCTTTAATCAATGTTTTTCAGAAAAATCCAAACAAAAAACGAGTTCCTTAATGGGCATGGAATGTGTTGAGCCAAAAAACAAAAAGTTAATACAGATTCACAAACCTGCGGGAAAATGCAAGTTTTTTCACTTTGATTATTTTGATGAGAGCCTGATTCCACCACGCTGCCTCACATTAATTTGTCTGATGAATTTTCCTAAACGGGTTAGAAAATGTTCTATGAATTTTTTCCCGAGGTCTCATTGAACGTTTTCAAAAAATCCGTGAAAATCCACACTCCAGACACCACCAACAAAAATCTATTCCATATATGAAAAATTCAACAAACAAACTTTTAGTATTACATCTTCTCTTCATTATTTCCCAGGATCTGCAGTGGACTCGACCCCAGCCATTGGTGAACAGCAGTCATAACTGATGCTTCCATATTACTGGTGTATTATAACATAATATTCATTCCAATATTGGATTCATTAGACATTTTCTTTTCAATATGGTTTTTACTTTCCCTGCGCTCACAGATATTTTGAATAAAATATGTCACGACACGGTGGAATTAGGCTCTCATCAATTTTTGAGCATGTGGAGTTATTACTGGTCTCATCTTAAAACTTGATCATTTTCGCTTGTTTTTCATTTTGAAACAACAACAACAAATAAACCCATTCATCTTGAATAGAAGTAGAGATATTTGCGATTGAAGAGGGTTGACAGACAGACAGACAGACAGACAGACAGACAGACAGACAGACAGACAGACAGACAGACAGACAGACAGACAGAGGTGGGAGCGGCCGGGAGGTGTGGATGTGAGGGAAGAGGATCTGTTGTTCTCTAATCGAGAACTCTTACACATCAAGAACTTCGTAAAATCTCGTCATAGTGTGCAGGAATGTCTGTTGAGAGGTGAAACATTTCACGTGTTTTGCTGTTGCTACCAAGACGAATCAAAACAAGAGTCTGGCT